TTACAGCATGGCTCTAAGTACAGGAAATTGATCAAGATGGACACAGCTAATTTGAAATTGATCAGGTTTTCCTGGCTATCATGTGAGATATCTGCATGTATTTAAATTGCAGAACTCTAGACGGAGATCCTTGACATTGATCAATCTTGAGCTAACTGGTCTGAAGTTGATTACGGTCAGAGGCTTTCAATTGATTTTGATTTAATCCAAGTTTCTTAACCTGTCTTTCCATCAGATCAACAATAACATCTGTCGTGTTGTGGACGTCAGCCATTGTTGAGGTGTTGTGTCGCCATAGTCTTACCACACCATAGGGCTGCTCTCTCATTAAAGAGAGACAACTGATGGTGATTTAACCCGAGAGTCACCAGACCTCAGGCGAAGGGAGAAGGAGAGTCCTTCATGATAACCTCAGCCAGTGAAGGGAATTGAACCCATGCTATCTTCATCAAATTGCTTCACAAGCTGACCCCCCAGCCAACTGAGCTAAACCAACCCCGATGTCAGCCATAATATTCAGCCCAAAAAAATGGTCATGGTTGGGAAAACATACCCAGGTGGGTTGAATAGATTAACAGTGACTATCGGTCTTCCTGCAACGATTGCCATCAGCCAATTACTGGTGAGTTCTTTAAAGTAAAGATTCTGGTGCTGGCAGGTAAATCTCAAAAGATTTTCCAATAGGATACGTGCTTGGCTTGCTGCTTGGCAACTCAAAATCTAATTGAACTGATTCTTGCACTTAACAGATGATTGACTCACACCTCAGAACATATTGTAATTAGATATTCAATATATCTGTATGTAATTCAGGATTATGACCCATTGTCATGACAACAATATAAATAAAAGCATGTAGCACAGAAGAACTGCAGTATTGCAAACATATAAACAAGGAACAAGTGTAGGCTACTCGACCCTTCAAGCTTGCTCCACTATTTGGTAAGATCATAGTCGCTCCGATTCTAACCATGTCAGAAATCACATGACAACAGGTTTATTTGAAATGACAAGCTTTTACAGCAGCACTGTTGGACTATAACCTGGTGTTATGTGACTTCTGACTTTCTTCACCCCAGTCCAACACTGGCACCTCCACATCACGGCTACATTCGATTTTAACCACAACTCTACATTCTTGCATATCCCTGATAATATGTCATTCCCTTGGTAATCGAGAATCTATCGACCTCTCCGATAAAATATTTAATGATTCTGCAATCGCTAGATTCCAAAGACTCTCAGCCCCCAGAGTAAACAAAATGGGTGCCCCCTATTTTTAAACTATGACCCCCTAGTTCTAGATTGTCCCTCAAGAGAAAACATGCTTTCAGCATCCATCCAGTCAAGTCCCCTTTTATGTTTATATAAGTCACATTTGACTGTTCTAACTAAATTGTTCTCATAATGACAGGGGTGATTTTTGGAGATATTTGTGAGAATATACTGCAGGATGAAATCTCTCATTCACTGAAGAAAACAAAAAGAAAACAGGATGTTTCCCCTCCAGTCTCTCTACCACACAGGAGGGGACTGTCTCCAGCCCAGCATAAACACAGAAAGGGAAGACTGGAAGGTTGCTAGGCTGCAGGCATGAAGGGTGATCCTGTGCCAGAAGTTGGAGGAAGGGGCTCAGAAGGAGGAGGATCAGGAGCAGTCCTGCCGTACAACATAGAGGTGAGTGAAGCACAAAATATGAACCTGGAGAGTGCATTACGTGTTTACACAATCCTGTAAACAATTACATACACCCACTGCTGGCTAGCACCAATATACAGAATAGTGGTGTAACCATAATGGCACCAACTATTTTCTTTTTGTATTAGAGGAACAATGTCAGGAATGCAGGGATATGCAATGGCATATGCAATTTCAACACAGAATTTTCCACACCTGCTCCCTGCTATCAGCACTGTAGATCTGTTAATTCCTATCCTACGATGGGCAAAGTCTGAGAGTTTCATCTGCTCACTTGGCTTAATAAAAATGCGCAGCACTCATTGCACAGTCAATAAATCTTGAGACAAGCACCATGTTTCTGTCATGTTTGTACTGATCTCAGCTGATGATATTACTAGACAGGTCAGATCCCAGACAGAAATCTGACATGATAGATTATACTTTGTTTTTCTATTTTAGTAAGGTGATCCTTCACTGAAATACAACCACACAATGCTGCAGATTGGGTTTTAACAATAAAACAGAAGAAGCTTACTAGGCTAAAGAAATTAAGATAAAATAGAACAAACCAAGCCATGATTGGTAACACAATTTTAAAAATCTTGAAACAAACAATACAATACAATATTCCATTTATCATAACAGTATCCCTTTAGTTCTGAGGAATTGCATGATATATCCTTTACAACCCAGCAATGCCCAATTGTGTCCATATTCCAATGCTCATAACCCATAAATAAATGTGTTTCCAACACCAATCTGGACACCCAGCATAAGATTTCCCTTCCATAGTTGGTACATTGTTCTAACAATATGTTTCAGCTCAATGAAAAGTATTTCTTAGACAGTCATTTTTCTATTCCATCTTGAGTGAGGTTGCCATATTGTATTTTACGTGTTTATGGAATGTGTGCATCACTGGCTGGGCCAGCATTTATTACACATCCCTAATTGCCCTTGAGGAAGTGGTGGTGAGCTGTGTTGCACAAAGTTCCTGGAAAGTGGAGTTGCAGGTAGACAGGGTGGCAAAGAAGGCATTTAGCGCGCTTGCCTTCATCAGTCATTGCATTGTTAGTATAGGAGTTGGAATATCATTTTGCGGCTGTACAGTGAGGCCACTTTTCCAGTACTGTATCGAATTCTGGTTGCCCTGCTGTGGAAGGATATTAAATTGGAAAAGGTGCAGAAAAGATTTACAAGGATGTCACCAGACTAGAGGGTTTGAGTTATTAGGAGAGGCTGGATAGGCTGGGACATTTTTTCCCTGGAGCACAGGAGGTTGAGGAGTGACCTCATAGAGGTTTATAAAATAGCGAGGGGCATAGTTAAGGTGAATAGCAAACGTCTTTTCCCTAGGCTACTGGAATTCAATACTAGACGGCACAGTTTTAAGGTGAGGGGGAAAGATTTAAAAGGGACGTGATGGGCAACTTTTTCACACTGGGCAACTAGGGATGAACAATAAATGCTGTCTAGCCAATGACACCCTCATCCCATGAATGAATAAAGAAGAAAAAAAACTCAAGGAGTTTAACACTGTCCAGGAGAAAGCAGTCTGCTTAATAGGCACGCCATATGAAACCTGCAACGTTCACTCCCTCCATTGCCAAAATTACAGTGGCAGTGTGTCCACCAAATCTTTGCTATCTGCAGAGATAGGGGCATGGACCTCCTGTGGATAACACAAAAATATAAATCGCTTTATAATGTGAATCCTCTATCTACCACAGAGGACTGGGTGTTCCATTGGGAACTGATCAATTAGGGAAAAACAAATTGGGGCTGGAGCTGACTGTGAGTACATGGATTTGTCGGTAATGAGTTCACATGTAGCAAGGAGTGAGTCTACTGCAATGCAGCAACAAATCATGGCTCCTTTGACAGCACTTTTCAGGCCCACAATCTCTACATCCAAAAGGTCAAGGGCAGCCCAAGCATGGGAATAGCACCAACTTCAAATTTCCCCTCAAGCATGACAGCGTTTCATAACTGTCACTGGGTCAAAATCCTGAATTCCCTCCCTTAGAGCATTGACAGATTGCCTACCCCCCAATAGAGTCAAATATGTGGAAACAGACTCTTCAGTCCAACTCATCCATGCCAACCAGGTTGACATTGTTCCCAAACTAAACTAGTCCCCTTTGCCTGTGTTTGACCTATAACCCTCTAAACCTTTCCTTGTACCTGTATTCATGTACCTGTCCAAATATCTTTTAAGTGATGTAACTGTACCTGCATTTGCCACTTCCTCTGAATTAAGAGTTAAGAGTCAACCACATTGCTGTGGGTCTGGAGTCACATGTAGGCCAGACCAGGTAAGGACAGCAGTTTCTTTCCCTAAACAGCAGATGGGTTTTTCCGACAATCGGCAATGGATTCACAGTCATCATTAAATTCTTAATTCCAGATATTTATTGAATTCAAATTGCACCATTTGCTGTGGTCCGAGGGCATTATCTGGGTGTCTGGATTAACAATCCAGCGATTATACCACTAGGCCATTGCCTTCCCCCACGCCATGTTGTTGGAGCTGCATTCATCTCAGAAATGCCAAATCAGGTGCAGTTTTAGGTCTTGGATCCATTGTACAAATTTCTTTGTGTAAGTTTCTCTCTGTGTAAACCTGCATGCCATTACTCCATAGGCTTCAGAAGTGCAATGTTTGTGTCTATGATTCAATCAACCTTAATGTTTTCAACTTAATTATGAAACTATTATTATTCAAATCTTTCTTTCCCATCAATGCTACATAATACAAATGTCTGAAAAGGTTGCATTTACCCTTGGGGGTATGAAGAGCAAAATAAAAATGGGCAGAAGCTACATTAAGTTACAGTTCAAGAAAGTTTATTAATAAGTTCCTCTGATGTTCAATTGCTGTTCTTACTCTAGACAACTTCCCAATCAACCTGTTCATGGATGTTATGACACAGGTCTGGAGCAGGTGGGACTTGAACCCAGGTTTCCTAGCTCAGAGATAGGGACAGTACCACTGCACCAAAACACCCTTCTATTTTATAATTAACCTGTTCAGGGAGATGTCATTATGTACCTCTATAGAGCAAGTGGGACTTGAACCTGAGCCTCCTTAGTTCAGGGATAGGGAATACTATCATTGCACCACAAGGACCTTTCGAACATACCACTCTTGATATTTTCAAATCAGCTTGTTTAGCTGTGTAATTGCACAACTGTGGGTCTTGAACGGGGATCTCCTGATTCAGGGTTAGGGACACTACCACTGTGCCACAAGGACCCTTCCTGCTTGGTGATATTGAAACAGCTGTACCTCATCGTGAAAATTGTGCAATTTTTGATCTCACTTCCTACCTGTATCAACTTTGTCCCGTGACTTAAGGCTTTATTGCTACGCAAGTGGCTTTTCAACAAACAGATCTGATTTGTGTCTAAACATGAAACGTTCGGGGTTGGTCATTGGTTCGGTTATTTTATGTAAGTTGCTTAAAGGGTTTTTCCTTTTTAAAAAAAAAATACACTTCTTTCTTAAAACAATTAGCTTCTAATGCTGAATTCCTGATATGTTAGGTGATTCACCGCGTTGCTAATTACGTTAGTCAGTAATAGGTTGGGCGGGGGGAATATGTTTGGAGTTGAAAAGTTTTTTTTTCATTTCGGTTATTAAGCGCTTGCCTACGTGTCTTGGCTGGCGGGAGTAAATAGTTTTGAGTTAATTAGTTATAGGAAGAACTTTCTTTTAACTCGCATACTAACCAGGAAATGTAGACAATAGACAGCAACATCAGATTTACAATATCACCATTTTCTGGATAACCACTATAGTCTCTGCTTTTAAATTTCTTTTCTAACACGTTCTCTGCAATTTATTTTTAAAGAGCATGTTTTCAGAGATTTGGCTTTAACATCATCGGGTTGTTACAGAAATTGTCGTGTGCAAAAATTGATTCAAGAACGGCACTAACGATTGTGTTCCACTGTGTCTGCCCACAGCATGATCCCATAATGGATTGTACAAGTGACCAGAATGGCTAGTCCCAGTTGTTGTGTTTTGTATTCATTCACTCCCTCATCCACGGGACGTGGGTGTCGCTGGCTAGGCCAACATTATTGTCCGTACCTAGCTGCCTTTTGAGAAGGTCGTAGTGACTGAACACTGTACTTAGTTCCAAGGTGGTTTTGGAGTGTTCGACTGCTCATCAAATACTGCACCAGAGTAGTTATACGCCACCAGATTATATACGTTTGTGTCCTTGTCAATCTGTTATATCTCTGGACTGCGTTCGAGTAAACTGATTTGAATTTAATTGCTTACAAGAGTTCTGCTCGACAATTTTTTTTTTTTTTTTTTTTTTTTTTTTTTTTGTAAACTGGTATGTGTGTAAGAATTCCATTTTAATGAGGGAGAATGTAATACTAATTATAAATCAATAGCTGACAATGCAGCAGTGTCAAATGTTAGTTTATGTATTAAATAACTTCCAAGTCTTCACCACCCCCCACCATCACTAACATTTTAACCATTTTCATTTGGGAAATGTTTCAACATAATTTGAAATTTTGTTAGCTCCTTGTCTACTAATCTTCACTTGCGTCTCCCACTTCAGTCTGAAGGTTAAATTTGAAGCTGTTTTTGTTCTTGCTTTTCATTATATAAATAATTTTCTTCAACAAAATCATTTATAGTTCTGGGCAATGGCTATTTTCTAAAGTGGGACCTTGAGGAAAACCTTTTGTAGTAATATTTTCAGCTTGCTGTTGTAGTCTGTATGTTTAAAAGAACTTTTTTTTTTCTGGAGGCCTTCATAGTAGGACAATTATCTAAATGCTATAGTTCACAGAGAAGCGTTCTTGTATAAGATTACCACTCTGTTGTCTTTTGGGATGTGTGCCACAAAGTTACCAAGCCACTAGAAGTTTAGATGTAAATCAGCCAGATTGCTGGATTCCAATAGCTAACTACAAATCCCATGTATTTTAAAAAAAATCACTTCCTTGCAAACACTTTTAAATATATTCAACAAGATATTTTTTTCTTTTTAAAAAAAACAAAAAGCCCATCCGCTTGCAAACACTTCAATCTAAGTAGTTGCTGAAACAGAAACATTTGACTATCAAATGGTTTTTTTGAACTATTGGATCTAAAACTTCACTCTAGCCACTATTTTTAAGACTAAGTACAGTTCAATAAGAATTGGGTGAAAATGCCATGAGTACATCTTCATATTAAAACTGTTTAATTAAATAAACTTTTTTTAATGTTTTGTTATAACTAAGTCTGAAACCTAATTTTTAATTAGACTGTCCTAGAGAGGAAGGTGAAGAAGCATAGCCAGATTCTTCCTTCACTTGCCTTTACATTTAATGTTGCAGCTAACAAGGGCTACTGGACTGCCTTGACCCAGTATGCGATTACAAACTTTCTTTAAAATACAATTACTTTGTTTAAAGTGGTCTCTAGTGTTTGGTTAATTGTTTTGTTTTTACAGGCTTGTGTGCAAGTTATGCTGCTTTGGAAGAAGGTGCAGCATTACCAGAGATGTTGAATACAGTGACCAGTATAGTTAAACATAATACAACTATCTCTCATCCTACTGCATGGACCATGCACGTCACCAACACAACTGCACAGACTCTCTCAACTACCCATGTGTTGACAACTGTGCCCCCAACTTTGACACCCAGTTTTTCACTGCCTGAAACTGGACAGTATAATGTTTCTATCAAGAATGTTATTTGCATCAAGGCAAGACTTGGAATACAACTTATTGTCAAAGAAAATGCAGAGGCAAGTTTTTTTTTTTTTTTTTTTAAATTTTTAGACTTTTGAGAAAATAGAATTGTTTTTCCTCCAGAGTTTGCTGTTTATCACACTTGGACTTGCGCTTGACTCTGTAAACTTTTTTTCTTCTTTGGGTCTTGCGCTAAACTTGTAATCAAACATGGCAGTGCCCTCTATTGGAGGTCTGGGACCTGCGCATGTCCTGAATCACCTCCAACCAATCGGGTTGAAAAATATGTTCTGTCTGTCTAAACCAAAAAATGAAAACTAAAATAAAATTCAAGTGAAACTGATGTGACTTAAATTTAAGGTACAGATTAGGAAGTTATAAAATTTAAAGGTCAGTATATCTGAAGGGGGCCTGCAATTATGCAAGTTTTTGAAAACTTTTTATTTTCATTGCTAAGGGTGTTTGTCTGACAATTCAAACTTGCCTTATTGTTTTTGGCAGTCTTGTGGGAGTGGTTACTGGTGGATATCATGTTTAGAATAATGGGAACAGGGTGAGATTTAATCTGTAGTCTGGCTAAAGTGGATAATTGGGACATGCCACCACCCCTTTTTTCCACTGTGTAAAATCATAACACTGCATGTTTGGGGTCTCCAAGGAGGCTGTCTGGAGGAAATAATTATGCTACAAAAAGTCATTTTGAACTTGAATGGACAAGTCCTAATATTTTTGGCATGTTTAGTTGGTATCTAATATGCAAGTCTCCCCAATGTCACCAATCCACATTTCTCTTCTGACATTGTCAAATGTCAAAAGCAAAGCTTCAGTTGGAGTAGGGCAGCTGATGCCAGCTTCCCAATCTGGTGTTTAATGGCATGTGTATGCACTGCCATTAGTTACTATGATTGTTTAGTGTCAGTAAACACACTTAACTTGGCAGTGGTCTGAATTTGCTAGTAATGAATGGGATAGGGTGATTGATGTTCGGGCTTTATTTCCTTCCAGATAATCCCTGATTGAGTAATCTGGGTGCAAACCAAATTGCTTCGGTGGGGATGTGAGTTGAGTAACCACAATACAACCAAGTGATGTTCAGTCTTTTTTTCAATTGTCCACAAAGGTCTGTAGCCATGGACCTCCTGATTGTGGTTGGTCAGAGGACCACTCCACAGTTGTAAATTTGAGAACAAGATGGTGTTTTTGGGTTTTGTTAAACTTTTTTTTTCCAGCACTTTGTTACTAGAACTTTTCTTCCCTTAGTCCCATTATGTATTTGGTTTCTTGGAATGGCTTCTACGGAGTGCAAGTTCCAAACTAGAGATGTCTGCATGAATAATGGTTAGATGAGGTGGAACTTGAACTTGAATTTTTAATGGTGCGTTACATGGATTGCACTCTACTGAATCTTGCAATTTGAAACCTGACCATCCTGGCTTTGTTTCAAGATGAGCCTTCTTAGGTTTAGGATAGCTGTTCATGTTCTGTAACTACTTCACCTGTGTTGGATCATTGACACCATTAGATGTTAATGGGCAGTTTGGTGTGTGTGTGTGTGTGTCTGTTTCCAGCATCCCATTGAGCAACACTAATAAGCTACTTCAGTAATTATTCTGTAACATGGCTTGATGGCTCTCGTTTTATAGTGCTTCTATGGAGCCCTTGGACTCTTCAAATATTGAAGTGTCATACAAGTAAAAGTTGTAATAAACAATTAGTTAACATTCTTTGCTATGATATGTTAGTCACTGCATGAGTGATTTAGTGGAAAATCACTGAAGCAATGATTGGCTGGGTAATTTGATGGCACTGTCTTATCGCAGTGATGCTAGCTTTTTTGTAACACAATGGTTTGCACTTTGTTCAATTTTAAACATTGCCTGATGTGACTCTGGAGCCTAGTCTGGCACTGATGGTTTCTGCAGTATTTGATGTAGAGGAAGATGGTGGGATAAGTGTGTATGATTCATTGGTCTCTTTGCTCACTGGGCACTCTCTCTTGTTAGTCAACTGAGCCTTCAATTTCTGTTTTAAAACTACAGGTGTCAAAGACCCAGTGACAAGCTGAGTCATCTTTCTAATTGATCTAAAACTCACTTAGACAAATTGCACTGTTAGTCACTGGATCCAGGTTGTGAAGTATTTACAGAACAATTTTAAAAAGCTAATTTTTTTGTAAATTGCAAAACTGCATTAGCTGTCACATTTTTACGCAACTTTTCCTTTTTAATGGTACTTTTTTATGCAGTTCAAATTCTCAGCATCATTTCAGTAAACTTTTTTTGTTCTAATAATTGATGTGTAATCACTTCACAGGATCTGTACTTCAACATTCCACCAGCAAAGACTGTAGCTTCAGGGAAGTGTGGAAATATTGCCTCCTGGATTATCCTAAAATTTAATTTGGGATTTGTAAACTTCACCTTCATGAAGGTGAGTTCATTACTAACATAGCATAGACCAAACATGGTGACTTGAGTGTAGATTACTGCAATTGCAATTGACTGACTGTTAAACTGGGGTTAACTGTAGCCCACAGTGGATTTACTGTATATGGGTGGGTGGTGGAGTTTCCAAAATTTGAATCAGCATTTGTGTAGCCTTGTATTAATTAAAGTTAAAGTGCTTTTGAAATGTATTGTATTAGTGAATTCCTGTGAATTGAGTTCTTATTTGATCAGGTGAATGGCTTCATTAAATGAATAAAATGGAGGAACTTCTAAAAATTAAATGAAACTTTAAACTTTGGAAAGCCATAGGAATAGTAAAGTATAAAAGACCAACCAAGATATTGGTGTGCAATAGGGCCATAACATGGTTAAAGCTGCTCTCAAATGTGGAGATGCAAGTTCGTTAACCCCTTTTTCTTGCTCGAGGAAGTCTCAAAGCACTTCCGAGACAGACACTTATTATAAATGTCACTTTTTGTAGTGACCACTACTGCAATGAACAACCACGTTGCAAGTCCTAAAGTATTCTGATAGATGAAGAACATGGTAACTAGCTTTATTGGTGATAGTTAAGGCTAAGCATTGGCCAGAATATCAGGAAGTAGGTGAATTCCAATAGATTCTGTGACTTGGAGACAGTAAGGACTGCAGATGCTAGAAGCTAGATTCAATGGATGTGAAGCTGGAAAGGCACAGCAGGTTAGACTGCATCAGAAGAGCAGGAAAGTCCATGTTTCGGGCTGGGTCAGCCCTGATGAAGGGTTTCAGCCCAAAATGTTGACTTTTTTGTTCCTCGGATGCAGTCTGACCTGCTATGCTTTTTCAGCTTCACATCTATTGAATCCAATAGTTTATGCACTTCTTATAAAATCAAAAGCATTACTTTTTTTTGTACTGAAATTCTTTCAATATCTAAAGTGCTTCCCATGCATCAAGCTGCATTTTTTCATAGAATTGTTGTGCTCCAGCAATTGACTGCTAAACCATCTTAATGTAAAGATCTCCATTTTTAGGATGCACACCAATTTCACAAACTGATCTCACTGCAATGTCCTTAGTCAACTTTGTACCATCCAATTGATTGACTTTCTGTGCTTGGGGGGAAAAGAAGCACTATCAGTGCCTGTAACAGAAGACTTTCTGTATCTTGGGAAGGATATAGCACTGTCAGCTATAAGCAGTGTTCCTCTGTCACTCCAACAATTGAGCTAGCATGCTCAGTATGCAACTAACACATTGTCCAACTGCTGTTAGCTTCAGTGGTCTAGTTTACTGTTTAATGGTTTCAAATTGATTCGTAACACTGGATCAGGTTTAAATATGAAACATTCCTGACACAACTTGAGAATCCTGTTACTTTTGGATATCGTAGTTTTGAGCTTTTGTGTATTGCACTTTAAGGTCTGAGTTGCAATGCAATTTTATAATCCAAGTAGCCTGACGCTGGCTATCTACTTGCAAATCTGGTACTTATTCAAATAACTTTAAATTATTATAAAATAAAACCAAGAACTGGAGATGCAAAAGATCAGATTTTTGCTCTTGTTTCAGGAGAAATGCAGTAGGTCTGACTGCATCTATGGAGAGAAAGCACTGTTAATGTTTTGAGTCGTGACCCTTCAATATACTTTATTCGGCTCGCCAGCTTGAGGCCTACACAGCATAGCTTGTATTTTTCCACAAAATGTTTTCACTTGCATGACCAATCTCTTTGCTGTGAACTGAACTTCTTGACCTCCTATTGTTTTTAAGCTAGGCCTTGTCTTACTAAGACAGGAATTCCCACTAGTTCCCTTCCATTGTATGCCTCAAGCAATCCAGTTATATATGCTCAGATCAACTTTAACTAGCCTATGTGGTTAATGAATAATCAGCTGTGACTTGATCCCACCAAGAGAACTGACTTTTCACCACTTAATTAGAACAACTACTGTACTTTTCTTTGGATGTGGAGATTCTATTGAGTTTTTTTTCTACATGTGTGGAAATTATTGTGATTCTTTTACCTGTAATGTCTCTTACTTGCAGGATGGAAAACATTATTACATCAGTGAAATAAGTGTTGATCTGAATACCATGAAAAACCTGGGTAACTCTAATTTAATCACAATAAAATCTGACATCTGAGTTAGGATTTTTTAAATTTGCTTGTCTCAAATGAGCTTGTACATGTATTGATTAAGTTATCAGTTGATAAAGTCTAATGACACCTTCTGTATGTGGCAAATCCTGTGCCAATATTTTTCTTTAGGATACATTTCCGTAAACTTAGTCTCCCAATCTCTCTCAATGTCAAGTTAATATGGCAATGTTGCTGTAATGCTAACTGGGAATTGAACTATTCACTGTGGCATCTCTTGTAAGCATACAAAACCAGTTTACACATCATCTTGTTGCAAATCCATCTAAAATCCAATTTACACAACTTTTCCTTCTAACTGTAACTCTGCAAGAGGCCCAAGTATAAATCCCCTGGCGAACGACACTTATCACCTATCCTACCGCTTTTGGAACAGGGTTAAATGTTCACCCTCTGAGTTGTGTAAAATATCAAATGACTTGACTGTTTCCAGTTAGGTTTTTTACACTTGTGATGTAAACATTAAGCAATAATGTTGAGCTTTTTAACCCCACCCCACCATTGTCTTAAATAGTTATACAGTACAGAAACATACCCTTTGGTCCAACCCACCCCCGCTGACCAGACATTCCCAATCTGACCTAGTCCCATTCTGACCCATATTCCTCTGTCCTTCCTACTTGTATACAAATCCAGATGGTGTTTTAAATGTTGTAATTGTACCTATCCTTCCCCTTCCCTTTGGAAGCCTGTTCCATACATGCACTACCCCTGGAAAAAGTTACCCCTCAGGCCGTTTGTGCACTTTCTTTTTTTTTCCCTCTCTCCCTAAACCTATCCATGCCCCTTGTGATTTTATAAACTTCTAAGGTCACCCCTCTGCCTCTGATGCTCTGGTGGTGGGGGTTGGGTGTGGCAGCCTATTCAGCCTTTCCCTATTAATCAAACCCTCTTGTCCCAGTGACACCCTTAAGACTTTTCTGCACCCTCTTGTTAGACAACATCCTCCTATACAAAGGCAACCAGAATTGAACACAGTACTCTAAAAGTGGCCTCTGTGCTGTACTGCTGTAACATGACATCCCAACTCCTATACTAAGTACACTGACCTGTGAAGGCAAGCATGCTAAATGCTGCCTTCACCCTGTCTCTACCTGCAACTCCACTTTCAAGGAACTATGCACCTGTACCCCTAGGTCTCTGTCCAGCAACACTCCCCGTGCCCTACCATTAGGTATACAAGTTCTGCCCTGGTTTGCTTTCCCATAATGCAACACTCACTTTTACTGAAAATAACTCCACCTGCCACTCCTTGGCCCACTGGCTTATCTGATCAAGGTCCTGTTGTACTGAAGTAACCTTCATGTCACTATTTTGGTGTCATCTGTGAACTGTTAACCATACATCCTATGTTCACATCCAAATCAATTATATAAATGACAAAACAGTGGACCCAGCACCAAACCTTGTGGCACACTGCTGGTCACAGCCCTCCAGTCTGAAAACCAGCTCTCCTCCACCCTCTACTACCTTCAAGTCAATTTGTATCAAATTAGCTACTCTCCCTAGATTCCATGCAATCTAATCATACTAACCAGTCTACCATACTGAACCTTGTCAAACACTTTGAAGTCAATATAGACAACATTCACTGGTCTGCCTTTATCAATCTTCTTTGTCTTTCAAATAAACTCAAGTTAGTGAGATACCACTTGCCAGGCACAAAGCCATGTTGACAATCACCAATCAGTTTTTTGTATTTCCAAATGCATGTAAATCTTATCCTTTGGAATCCCCTCCTGAAAACTGAAGTGTTTCAAGGAGAGAAATCTTGTCAACAGTTAAATATCATTAAAATATTGTATAGAGCAAAGGACCTGGATTTAAAGTGACTATTACTGACAGCTTGTACATAATTGCTGCTAGTGTTAGATAGGTTCATGTTATGATGTTGCTGGATATGTTATTTTTTTGATAGAAAAGTCCTATTCAGGTACTATGAAGAATGTAAAGTTGTTCCAGACTACACTTGGGCATTCGTACAAGTGCAAAAGCAGGCAGATTGTGGATATTTCACCCAATTCATTATGGATTCTTCTTGTTGATACTCAACTCCAAGCATTTGACGTTACTGGTGGAAACTTTGGTGAAGGTAAGGACCTGTTGTATTTTAGCAAAGTGCAGAATCGTGCTGGAAACAACAAACTTTCCTTTCATCTCCTGTAAACCAACTTTGTTACCTGGCTGACTTCAGCCTGCTAAGTATCTTTACTTTTTTTTTTAGAAAATGTAGTATTGGGTTTATTGAATGTTTTACATGTCTGTTTGGATTGGTCCAAAACCAATCTAATTCTGTTCATAGTTTTCTTGAAAATCTAACACTTTCAGTCATAATAGTGCTCCAGTCATGAATAACTAATTTAAATCCAACTAAAATGATTTACTTACAAATAACACCAGCTTGTTCACTAAATTATTCAAAAGCTCCTCTGAATCCTATTGGGGTCCTTCATTGACCAAAAAACTTCTTTTAGTAGGAGCCTTCTTTAGACCCTCTAAGTCCTAACTAGTGGAATTAGTAGATTTTTAGGGGTAGAGGCAGAAGAATAGATTCTGTTCTATAGTTTACCAGGAGTCAGCAGGTTTTAATTCCTCCTAAGTTACATATTCCCACTCTTCTTTCTTCACCTTCCCCTGCTCTTCCCCCCCCCCCCCCCCCCCAAAAATCCTGCCTAACTACTAAACAGTCAGGCAGAGCTCTAAATCAGAATTGGCAGCTTTTTATTTCCCTGAGGTTCTACAACATAACTAACCATTTGAAATGTAATCAGTGCACAGGACTTTAAAGAAGCCTGGATGTGTATTGTTTGGAGTCTGTCTGTCTGGTCTCCAAGTATCTCCACTAGAAGTCCTAGGCCAATTGGTACTTTGAAGTTCTGATTTGGTCAACTTTTCTGTTAATCCTGAGTCTGACTGAATAGGTGGGACAGCAAATGCTTACCCACTTTGAGGATTGGATGGTAGGAAAGAATGTTCTCTCTGAACAAAAAGGCAACCTTCCAGTGTACATAGCAAGTCTTAATAACTTTGCAGAGGAGAGATTCAATAGGGTTTTTTCTTGTATTTGAATTATTACTTGATCAATCATGAATTACCCACAGCCTTATATATAAACAAAAGGGCCTTTTAATTGCCAGAACGTTCAGAGATTTGTGCCATTAAATATAAATCTGGAAGGTGCTATGCCTTGTGTCCTGTGCAAAACTAGTCAAGTGACCATGCCCAAAGTCAATTTTTGGTTGGCTGTTTTTGTGGGTTTTTGTATGGTGGGCAGCAAGGAACTGACACACTTCCCCACATTTTAGGAAAATTTGGGGCAAATGACCAAAGCTAACTTGAGGTAGGTTTTAAGAAACCTAAAGTGATAGAGAGGTTCAGGGTCTAGGTAACTGGATTCACAAACTGCCAGTGATAGGCCAAAACACATCTGAAAGATGGAGATTTGAATGAGGGGTAAGGCCAAATGTGACATTTCATTTCCTCTATTTTTCATGTCCAGTAATGAATCAGGTCCTCCCTGCTATCTGGAGATTAGCCAATGTTCTTTCCTCCTTTTGAAGAACAGAAGCAGGGATAATCCAGGAAATGATAGGACTCATCAGCCTATAATTTTGTGAAAGGAAATCTCTTGGAAATGCTCAGGGACAAGATATGCACACTTGGAAGAAAATGGACTAGTTAGTGACAGGCAGCATGGTTTTGTGCAGAGAAGGTCATGTCTCTCCAATCCTTGATTGTCACCTTTTTTTAATAAAAATCCAAAGATAACTGAGGGCAGGGCTGTGGATGTATTTTGTATGGACTTTAGTAAGGCATTTGATAAAGTACCACATGGCAGATTGGTACAAAAACTAAAATCACATGGGATTCAGGATGGGCTGGCTAGATGGATACAAAACTGACGTGGTCATAGACAGGGGGTGTGTGTCTGTCCATCCCCAGGTGCACATAGCAGAAGGTGTGTAATGTGCAGTGCTGCATGTTGGGGGATCATATCTAGGTGTGCATCAGTCAATAG